ATTAAATTCTTCTGTATCTGCCAATTCCTTTCGATAAAATGACTCAGTATATTCCTTCCATCTTCTTTTGATACCTCATGGATCATTTAACATTCTGCCAAAAGTATCCTTGATTATAGCAACTCGAGGTTTGAATTTGTTCTTCAGTTACTTGAGCTTAAGAAATACTGAACGACTTCGGCCCTTTTGATTTTCCGACTCTAGCTCCTGGCACATTTCTTGTAATATTTTGCTTTGTCATTCCGTGCTGCCTTTTGTATCCAAGGATAATTTTTAAAAAATCATATTGGTTTGTGTACATAATTAATATACATTGTGTTTCACACTTTCCTTCATTCACATTGTGTTTCATACAATCATTCCTATGCATTGTGTTTTATAAAATTAATCACCATTGAACTATGCCCACCATTACTTCCTTTTAACCTCTTTCTCATGACTCTTTTTTAGCTCCCCTTTGTAGTGATCCTGACCTCTGTTTATAAAAGAAGTAGTCTGCAAGGAAATGCATGTCTTTCATTATGTGTTTCATGATTGTGCTGGAATATAAAAGTATCTGGCACTCAGTGACCTTTTTTACTACATATTTAAAATCTTTTTATCACACTACTATCAATAGCTATAAGGACCTAATAAGACATTATTGGGTAGTTTATTCTTTCTGGAATATCAAGAGTGAAAAATATTTGTTTTTCTATTTACTTTTAGGAAAATATGGAAATGAAACATTAGTTCTTTATTTTCCTAAAAGTCTTATTGTTTCTTAATAAGTTTTCCAGAAATTTAATTACATTAAATATTTTCTTTTGAAAACTTTGCAGATATTTTCTAGATAGTCTAGTGTATAGAAAATTGTACTACTAACCCAAAGGCTACTGACAGTTCTAATTCACTAGCCACTCTTCAAGAGAAAGATGGATAATCTTCTCCTTTGCCATTTACTGCTTCTGAAAACCCCCTGGAGCTAGCAGTTGGTTTTAACTCAGTGGCAATGAGTTTTTGAGAGATGCATATAAGGTGAAGAAATTTGCACTAAGTGTCAATACAAAAATCTCTAAAACATGCAAGCGTTTAAGGCATTGTGAGGAGATGTAAAGAAATCTAAATTATTCACAAGTTTTATGACACTGGAAATTTTAAATATTCTTTATTGCTGTTATCTTGTGTATCAGAAAATGTGATAATTTTAGGCATAAACTCTAGCTTTAGAAAACTGCAGCCTTCAGTATGGACTGAGGCTCAATGTCAAGAAGACAAAGATTCTCATCACTGGACTAATCGGTAGCATCAGGATGGATGGTGAAGAGATTGAGATTGTTCACAGCTTCAGTTTGCTCGGCCAACACTCTTGGCACCAGCAGCCAG